CATTATCACTATTACTATTATTATTGTTATTATTACTATACTACCTTACACCAATCTCTTCGTTATTATTCTCTTGTTTTTTACGCTCCCTACCGTTTTTCCCTTCTCTTTAAACTCTCAATGTTTTGTGTGGCGAATATATATTTGGCGCACTCTTGTACCAATATTATGTGTTCAAATAAATAAATAAGCCACCAAACCATTGTTGTTTGATCAATTCAGAGAGAATGGTGTGAAACAGTGTTTTGGAAACATTGCTAATTTCGTTGTGGTGGTGTAGAGAAAGAGAGTAGTGAGTGGGAGTTGAAGTATATTGATAAAAGTGACTAGGGTACGGGATTATTAGTGGATGAGAAGAAGTGGTAGGGTGAAGTTGGTTGACTGTGTCCTGTAGGCCTTATAGTTCTGGCTTTATTCAAAGTCATCATGATAGTTAAATGTGTGCGCTTCGTCAGCTCTCGAACCTAGGATTTTCTAAGTCGTGTTGCGCCTAGCCTAGGAGTTCAGCAAAGATTTACAACTGAGAATTATGTGACTTCAGTTTTAGAATTGCGAGTGAGCATATCAAGGCGTATACTAAGTAATTGGGAAATTGTGTGAATCAGTGAAAAATGCGAGCACAACCTGACACCAGTGAACTTGTGAGTGTCCTTTGTAGAATAATTTTGAACCTCACTATCTGTCCTAGTTAGCTAATGAATGAGTGGCACGATCGAAGCATTGTCTCAAGCTACTTATATACTTCATGATAGTTTAAACCTGAAAGTTTTCATAATATTTCCTAAAGTGTGTCATTCATTTTCGTTGTTTTCCTTGACTTGTTGCATGGGATAAAATATTTATATTGGAGTGGGTTTTCATCGTGATTTGATCTGATGTTAGTGACCGAATTGTACCATGTTAGTTGGTCGGAGGTAATCGACAAGAAGCTGTAGACCCAGGTTTCGTGCTCACTGGCACTCGTCAGTAAGGTGTGCCTGGAATCTTGAGAGAAATGGACGTCCTGTGTGGACTTCGAACCCACGTCAATCAGTGTCGTAGTCAGAGGTGCTAGCATGGAGCAATTCGGGCTTCTACCGACTGTTATGTCTGACTCAAGCATATGATTAAGCACACCGATTACTTTTGTTCATTGCAACATTTTTATCCTTACGATGCCAGTAGAGTTTCTCCTCCTGACATTCTATTAATTAATCAGTTGTGAGGAGACTGAGTTGTGGTTTATTGGAATTCTATCTGTTGATTATCACAAAGTGAGTCGACCTGAAAATAAATGTATTGACATGTTGTGTTAATCCAGTTGTTAATAGTAATGATAATAATAATAATGATTATTATTATTATTACTATTATTGTTATTATTATTCAATATTATATTTTGGTACAACATAGGATTCCCAGCACGAGGTTTGGTTATGAAACAATTCTTCATCTGTCGATCAGTCTTTTGACTTCTAACATGAGTCTTTCTAGTCACTTCGACAATCAACGATAATTCAGTCAACCATAACGGTCATGTCACCGACCTCCTGTAGGACTGAGACATTTACACTGGTTCATCACAGAGTGGTAACCGATCCCATGTTTGTCTAATTCTGAATGATGATCGAATTCCATCGAACACTCGAACAAGTAGCCACATTGCAACTGTTCAGATGGAATTGGATCAGCATTAAGAAGTAGGCAAACATGACATAATGATGTACAGCCGGGCATAGTTACAGCTCGGTGACTAACCAGTATGAACTGAACTATACCTGATCCCTAAATATCACACGTGTTAGTTCAACTACTTATAATTGTGTCAGTAGTCAAACTCGATATTGGAATGTTTTTTGTGTTTGAGGTTGTGAATGGGTGAATGGGATGGGTGCACGTCTTAGATTTTGTCCATTTGTCCACACTGACCAGACAATTGCGTTTGTATTAGGCACCCTGCATTGCATTGTACTTAGGGAGGCTATGAGTGAAATTTTGACTAGGAAAGCATCTTGTTTGTGAGTATTTGGTCAGTAGTCTGGTGGTTGAGTGTGATTGGCCAATAGTGAATACTTGTCGACAGGTCATTGGTCGATTGTTTTCTATCGAAGGTCATCGAAACTTCTAGTATGTTCTACGTGTAAAGTATTTAAGCAGGTGCACAGCTTGCAGTGGTATTAATTGAGTGATTCGATTACCTGTGTTTGTTCGTTTTGACGTATCTCGAAATGCCTAACGCCATTGGGATCGATCTTGGTACAACATATTCGTGTGTTGGTGTTTTCCAGCATGGCAAAGTGGAGATAATTGCCAATGATCAGGGTAACAGAACGACACCGAGTTATGTGGCGTTCACAGATGCTGAGCGTTTAATTGGTGATGGAGCGAAGAACCAAGTGGCTATTAATCCAACAAATACAGTGTTTGATGCGAAGCGGCTAATCGGTCGTCGTTTCGATGATCCATCAGTTCAGAGTGATATGAAGCATTGGCCATTTGAGGTGGTTCAAGTCGGTGGTAAGCTGAAGATTCGTGTTGAGTATAAGGGTGAGAAAAAGTTGTTCTCCGCGGAGGAGATTTCGTCGATGGTGTTGACGAAAATGAAGGAGGTTGCTGAAAGTTATTTGGGCAGGACAGTAAGTGACGCGGTTATAACAGTTCCTGCTTACTTCAATGACAGTCAACGTCAAGCAACGAAAGATGCAGGTGCTATAGCTGGTCTTAATGTGTTGAGAATCATTAATGAGCCGACAGCTGCGGCAATTGCCTATGGTTTAGACAAGAAGGTTGGTGGTGAGCGTAATGTGTTGATATTTGATTTGGGTGGTGGTACATTTGATGTGTCCATCTTGACAATTGAGGATGGTATATTCGAGGTGAAGTCTACTGCTGGTGATACACACTTGGGAGGTGAAGATTTTGACAATCGTCTGGTGGATCACTTTGTGAAAGAGTTCCAGAAGAAATTTAGTAAAGACATTCGTGACAATAAGCGTGCATTGCGTCGCCTGAGAACAGCATGTGAACGTGCGAAACGTACATTGAGTTCGAGCACCCAAACGAATCTGGAGATTGACTCGTTGTGTGATGGTATTGATTTTTACACGTCGATTACTCGTGCACGATTTGAGGAGTTGAATGCCGATCTATTCCGTGGTACATTGGGTCCTGTTGAGAAGGCTTTGCGAGATGCTAAGATGGATAAGGCCCAGATTCACGAAATAGTGTTGGTTGGTGGTTCCACTCGTATCCCTAAGGTGCAGAAGCTGTTGCAGGACTTCTTCAACGGGAAGGAGTTGAATAAATCTATTAATCCGGATGAAGCTGTGGCTTATGGTGCAGCTGTGCAGGCAGCTATTCTAAGTGGTGACAAGTGTGAGGCTGTGCAGGACTTGCTGTTGCTTGACGTGGCTCCATTGTCACTGGGTCTTGAAACGGCTGGTGGTGTAATGACGGCTCTGATTAAGCGTAATACGACAATTCCGACGAAGCAGACTCAAACGTTCACGACGTACTCGGACAACCAGCCTGGTGTGCTTATCCAGGTGTTTGAGGGTGAGCGTGCTCTGACGAAGGACAACAATCTGCTTGGCAAGTTCGAACTCTCAGGTATCCCACCTGCTCCTCGTGGTACTCCCCAGATTGAGGTGACGTTTGATATAGACGCGAACGGTATTCTGAACGTATCTGCTGTTGACAAGGGTACAGGGAAGCAGAACAAGATAACGATTACAAATGACAAGGGTCGTTTGACGAAGGAGGAGATTGAACGAATGGTAGCCGATGCGGACAAGTACAAGGCTGAGGATGAGAAGCAGAGAGATCGTGTTTCTGCGAAGAACTCGCTTGAGAGTTATGTGTACACAATGAAACAGCAAGTGGAGGGTGAGCTTAAAGAAAAGATATCTGAAAGTGATCGTCAAGTGATATTAAGTAAGTGTGAGGATACAATTGGTTGGTTGGACGTTAATCAATTGGCGGAGAAGCATGAGTATGAAAGTAAGCGGGAGGAGTTGGAGAAGGTCTGTGCGCCGATAATTACGAAGGTGTACCAGGCTGGTGGTATGCCAGGAGGCATGCATGAAACAGGTGGTGCTGGTGGTGGAAGTGGTAAGGGACCAACGATTGAGGAGGTCGACTAACCTGTAATTGTTGTGATTAATTATTTGGTACTTGAATGAATTTAGATTTTATCTGTAATGAATTTTGTCTTTTGATTTTTATTAGTTATTGGTTGTTTGATACAGGGTCAGGGTTTCGTTACTGGCGAGTAGTGAATATCGTTGTCTAATGTCTGGTCGCTCAGTGTAGGATAGTGATCGCTCTCTATCTCTTCCTGCCCTCTATGTTACGGAAGGCTTGTTAAGTTGAGTGTTGCGAATCCGTATGTGTGCAACGTGGCGTTTGCACCTCAGGACTATTGGTTGCGATTTAGGTGGCATGTCGTCTGTTCCTAGTTTATTAGACCGGCGTAGTTGTGGAGCGTTGTTGCGTACGCGTCGAGAAGACCGAGTGAGTGGTTTGTGTGACTAGATGTTCCGATGGGGATTTTGGTGTAGTTGGTGAGTGGAGTGATAAAGTTATTTTCGTCGAGTGTTGTTGAAGACAGGCGACTCGTACTTTTGGTCTGTAAGTGCATTTGCTCGAGAACTTGACTATCGGCCCAGTTAAGTGAGATGATTTCTTGTGAGATGGTAAGTGTTTAGTTGATTAGTATGAACGGTCTCCAATTACTAGTTAGTTATTTACTGCCTTGCTCAACAACAGACGAGTTGTAAAATAAGTAGGGATAACAACGCACGTGTTTCGCATAGTATTCTACATTGGGATATGTAGGTTGGTGAAATGTAATCAGCGTTTACTTAATTGTTGGAAGTGCCTATGTTTCATGGAGTCAATTGACTGCAGTGCGTCGAAGAACGGATGGTCGATCAGTTGGGCAATCGTATGTATGGAAGTGAATTTATTATAAGCTATGTCCAGTCATCGAAGTTATAAACCTTTTACTTTGTAATTGGTAGGTATGTGTTCAGACTTGTAGGTGGTGATTAGACTGGTTGTATTTGAATTTCGTAAAACGAGGTGTGGGGTTGTTTGGAGATGCGTATATGTAGCTGAAGTAGAAGTGGCATTCGTGTACGCAACAACTGGAAGGGGTAAGATGGTACATGTGTATAGATGAGGATGTTTGTAAGCTAGCATATTGGGCTGGCATTTTTATGCTGATTTCAATTCAGTCAACTAGTGCAAGATGTGAATGGTGCAGTCTCATGTCTCATTGACGCAACTAGGTGAGTTTCCAGTGAGTCAACGAAGCTTCCTGTGGGCAAGGCCAGACTTTCAGGATGAGATGAATTCGTGTTTTTAATTGAGCGCTTCCTGTGAACTAGAATCAGCCTGGAATTACAACATTTAGTATTAGAGAATTCCACGTCGTGGATTATTTGCCGACTCTGGGACTGGTTGGAAAAAGCGGAGAGGTGGTCAGTGTATGACATGGTGTCGTGGTATGAAAGAAAGCTGCAAAGGGCTGGCTTGTGTTAGTCCTTCACGACTCCCTGGTTGGGGTCCGAGAGATGGTGCAACACAGTGGCTAGAGACGTTATCAGATATGGCTCAGAATAGAAGCCAGTGGCGATCCTGCTGTAACCTTCTTTTACTTTCTTTGTAAAAAGTGGTTGTATCTTCCTAAACTGAAAGATTTCTTCTGATTGTACCTTTCCGTTCCCCCATTATCACTATTACTATTATTATTGTTATTATTACTATACTACCTTACACCAATCTCTTCGTTATTATTCTCTTGTTTTTTACGCTCCCTACCGTTTTTCCCTTCTCTTTAAACTCTCAATGTTTTGTGTGGCGAATATATATTTGGCGCACTCTTGTACCAATATTATGTGTTCAAATAAATAAATAAGCCACCAAACCATTGTTGTTTGATCAATTCAGAGAGAATGGTGTGAAACAGTGTTTTGGAAACATTGCTAATTTCGTTGTGGTGGTGTAGAGAAAGAGAGTAGTGAGTGGGAGTTGAAGTATATTGATAAAAGTGACTAGGGTACGGGATTATTAGTGGATGAGAAGAAGTGGTAGGGTGAAGTTGGTTGACTGTGTCCTGTAGGCCTTATAGTTCTGGCTTTATTCAAAGTCATCATGATAGTTAAATGTGTGCGCTTCGTCAGCTCTCGAACCTAGGATTTTCTAAGTCGTGTTGCGCCTAGCCTAGGAGTTCAGCAAAGATTTACAACTGAGAATTATGTGACTTCAGTTTTAGAATTGCGAGTGAGCATATCAAGGCGTATACTAAGTAATTGGGAAATTGTGTGAATCAGTGAAAAATGCGAGCACAACCTGACACCAGTGAACTTGTGAGTGTCCTTTGTAGAATAATTTTGAACCTCACTATCTGTCCTAGTTAGCTAATGAATGAGTGGCACGATCGAAGCATTGTCTCAAGCTACTTATATACTTCATGATAGTTTAAACCTGAAAGTTTTCATAATATTTCCTAAAGTGTGTCATTCATTTTCGTTGTTTTCCTTGACTTGTTGCATGGGATAAAATATTTATATTGGAGTGGGTTTTCATCGTGATTTGATCTGATGTTAGTGACCGAATTGTACCATGTTAGTTGGTCGGAGGTAATCGACAAGAAGCTGTAGACCCAGGTTTCGTGCTCACTGGCACTCGTCAGTAAGGTGTGCCTGGAATCTTGAGAGAAATGGACGTCCTGTGTGGACTTCGAACCCACGTCAATCAGTGTCGTAGTCAGAGGTGCTAGCATGGAGCAATTCGGGCTTCTACCGACTGTTATGTCTGACTCAAGCATATGATTAAGCACACCGATTACTTTTGTTCATTGCAACATTTTTATCCTTACGATGCCAGTAGAGTTTCTCCTCCTGACATTCTATTAATTAATCAGTTGTGAGGAGACTGAGTTGTGGTTTATTGGAATTCTATCTGTTGATTATCACAAAGTGAGTCGACCTGAAAATAAATGTATTGACATGTTGTGTTAATCCAGTTGTTAATAGTAATGATAATAATAATAATGATTATTATTATTATTACTATTATTGTTATTATTATTCAATATTATATTTTGGTACAACATAGGATTCCCAGCACGAGGTTTGGTTATGAAACAATTCTTCATCTGTCGATCAGTCTTTTGACTTCTAACATGAGTCTTTCTAGTCACTTCGACAATCAACGATAATTCAGTCAACCATAACGGTCATGTCACCGACCTCCTGTAGGACTGAGACATTTACACTGGTTCATCACAGAGTGGTAACCGATCCCATGTTTGTCTAATTCTGAATGATGATCGAATTCCATCGAACACTCGAACAAGTAGCCACATTGCAACTGTTCAGATGGAATTGGATCAGCATTAAGAAGTAGGCAAACATGACATAATGATGTACAGCCGGGCATAGTTACAGCTCGGTGACTAACCAGTATGAACTGAACTATACCTGATCCCTAAATATCACACGTGTTAGTTCAACTACTTATAATTGTGTCAGTAGTCAAACTCGATATTGGAATGTTTTTTGTGTTTGAGGTTGTGAATGGGTGAATGGGATGGGTGCACGTCTTAGATTTTGTCCATTTGTCCACACTGACCAGACAATTGCGTTTGTATTAGGCACCCTGCATTGCATTGTACTTAGGGAGGCTATGAGTGAAATTTTGACTAGGAAAGCATCTTGTTTGTGAGTATTTGGTCAGTAGTCTGGTGGTTGAGTGTGATTGGCCAATAGTGAATACTTGTCGACAGGTCATTGGTCGATTGTTTTCTATCGAAGGTCATCGAAACTTCTAGTATGTTCTACGTGTAAAGTATTTAAGCAGGTGCACAGCTTGCAGTGGTATTAATTGAGTGATTCGATTACCTGTGTTTGTTCGTTTTGACGTATCTCGAAATGCCTAACGCCATTGGGATCGATCTTGGTACAACATATTCGTGTGTTGGTGTTTTCCAGCATGGCAAAGTGGAGATAATTGCCAATGATCAGGGTAACAGAACGACACCGAGTTATGTGGCGTTCACAGATGCTGAGCGTTTAATTGGTGATGGAGCGAAGAACCAAGTGGCTATTAATCCAACAAATACAGTGTTTGATGCGAAGCGGCTAATCGGTCGTCGTTTCGATGATCCATCAGTTCAGAGTGATATGAAGCATTGGCCATTTGAGGTGGTTCAAGTCGGTGGTAAGCTGAAGATTCGTGTTGAGTATAAGGGTGAGAAAAAGTTGTTCTCCGCGGAGGAGATTTCGTCGATGGTGTTGACGAAAATGAAGGAGGTTGCTGAAAGTTATTTGGGCAGGACAGTAAGTGACGCGGTTATAACAGTTCCTGCTTACTTCAATGACAGTCAACGTCAAGCAACGAAAGATGCAGGTGCTATAGCTGGTCTTAATGTGTTGAGAATCATTAATGAGCCGACAGCTGCGGCAATTGCCTATGGTTTAGACAAGAAGGTTGGTGGTGAGCGTAATGTGTTGATATTTGATTTGGGTGGTGGTACATTTGATGTGTCCATCTTGACAATTGAGGATGGTATATTCGAGGTGAAGTCTACTGCTGGTGATACACACTTGGGAGGTGAAGATTTTGACAATCGTCTGGTGGATCACTTTGTGAAAGAGTTCCAGAAGAAATTTAGTAAAGACATTCGTGACAATAAGCGTGCATTGCGTCGCCTGAGAACAGCATGTGAACGTGCGAAACGTACATTGAGTTCGAGCACCCAAACGAATCTGGAGATTGACTCGTTGTGTGATGGTATTGATTTTTACACGTCGATTACTCGTGCACGATTTGAGGAGTTGAATGCCGATCTATTCCGTGGTACATTGGGTCCTGTTGAGAAGGCTTTGCGAGATGCTAAGATGGATAAGGCCCAGATTCACGAAATAGTGTTGGTTGGTGGTTCCACTCGTATCCCTAAGGTGCAGAAGCTGTTGCAGGACTTCTTCAACGGGAAGGAGTTGAATAAATCTATTAATCCGGATGAAGCTGTGGCTTATGGTGCAGCTGTGCAGGCAGCTATTCTAAGTGGTGACAAGTGTGAGGCTGTGCAGGACTTGCTGTTGCTTGACGTGGCTCCATTGTCACTGGGTCTTGAAACGGCTGGTGGTGTAATGACGGCTCTGATTAAGCGTAATACGACAATTCCGACGAAGCAGACTCAAACGTTCACGACGTACTCGGACAACCAGCCTGGTGTGCTTATCCAGGTGTTTGAGGGTGAGCGTGCTCTGACGAAGGACAACAATCTGCTTGGCAAGTTCGAACTCTCAGGTATCCCACCTGCTCCTCGTGGTACTCCCCAGATTGAGGTGACGTTTGATATAGACGCGAACGGTATTCTGAACGTATCTGCTGTTGACAAGGGTACAGGGAAGCAGAACAAGATAACGATTACAAATGACAAGGGTCGTTTGACGAAGGAGGAGATTGAACGAATGGTAGCCGATGCGGACAAGTACAAGGCTGAGGATGAGAAGCAGAGAGATCGTGTTTCTGCGAAGAACTCGCTTGAGAGTTATGTGTACACAATGAAACAGCAAGTGGAGGGTGAGCTTAAAGAAAAGATATCTGAAAGTGATCGTCAAGTGATATTAAGTAAGTGTGAGGATACAATTGGTTGGTTGGACGTTAATCAATTGGCGGAGAAGCATGAGTATGAAAGTAAGCGGGAGGAGTTGGAGAAGGTCTGTGCGCCGATAATTACGAAGGTGTACCAGGCTGGTGGTATGCCAGGAGGCATGCATGAAACAGGTGGTGCTGGTGGTGGAAGTGGTAAGGGACCAACGATTGAGGAGGTCGACTAACCTGTAATTGTTGTGATTAATTATTTGGTACTTGAATGAATTTAGATTTTATCTGTAATGAATTTTGTCTTTTGATTTTTATTAGTTATTGGTTGTTTGATACAGGGTCAGGGTTTCGTTACTGGCGAGTAGTGAATATCGTTGTCTAATGTCTGGTCGCTCAGTGTAGGATAGTGATCGCTCTCTATCTCTTCCTGCCCTCTATGTTACGGAAGGCTTGTTAAGTTGAGTGTTGCGAATCCGTATGTGTGCAACGTGGCGTTTGCACCTCAGGACTATTGGTTGCGATTTAGGTGGCATGTCGTCTGTTCCTAGTTTATTAGACCGGCGTAGTTGTGGAGCGTTGTTGCGTACGCGTCGAGAAGACCGAGTGAGTGGTTTGTGTGACTAGATGTTCCGATGGGGATTTTGGTGTAGTTGGTGAGTGGAGTGATAAAGTTATTTTCGTCTGGACAAGATCAAAGAAAGGAAGAACAAGAAGGCAGCAATTAACAACAGCCGAACACGAACAGAGAAAGTCCAAGCACAAGCTGAGTACATAGAAGCAAACAAACAAGTGAAGAGGAGCATTAGAGCCGACAAGAAGAAATACGTGGAAGAACTAGCAACGACGGCAGAAAAAGCTGCTAGAGAAGGAAATATGAAACAGCTTCACGATACAACGAAGAAACTATCAGGGAAATACAGTAAACCAGAGAGGCCGGTCAAAGACAAAGAAGGCAAGCCAATCACTGAAATTCAACAACAGCGTAACAGATGGGTAGAATACTTCGAGGAACTCCTGAATAGGCCGGCTCCAATGAATCCACCGGACATCGAAGCAGCACACATAGATCTTCCTATAGATGTCAACCCACCAACGACGGAAGAAATTAGAATGGCCGTCAGACAAATCAAGAACGGGAAAGCAGCAGGACCCGACAACATACCAGCTGAAGCACTGAAATCAGACATCGAAGCAACCACAAGCATGCTTACCTTCTATTCAAAAAGATTTGGGAGGAGGAACAAGTGCCGATGGACTGGAAAGAAGGACACCTCATCAAGATTCCAAAGAAAGGAGATCTGAGCAAATGTGAAAACTACAGAGGCATTAAACTACTGTCAATACCAGGGAAAGTCTTCAACAGAGTGTTGCTGAACCGGATGAAGGATGCAGTAGACGCCCAACTTCGAGATCAACAAGCTGGATTCCGTAAGGATCGGTCGTGCACAGACCAAATTGCAACACTACGGATCATCGTCGAACAATCAGTTGAGTGGAACTCATCACTATACATCAACTTCATTGATTATGAAAAGGCATTCGACAGTGTAGATAGGAGGACATTATGGAAACTTCTTCGACACTACGGAGTTCCTGAGAAGATTGTCAACATTATCCGGAACTCATACGACGGACTACAGTGCAAAGTAGTGCATGGAGGACAGCTGACAGATGCATTCCAAGTAAGGACCGGAGTCAGACAAGGCTGTCTACTCTCTCCCTTCCTCTTTCTTCTGGTGGTCGACTGGATTATGAAGACCTCGAAATCTGAGAGTAAACACGGCATACAATGGACAGATGAGAAACAATTAGAAGATTTGGACTTCGGAGATGATTTAGCACACCTATCGCATGCACACGAACAAATGCAGATAAAGACAGTCAGTGTAGCAGCAGTCTCTGCATCAGTAGGCCTCAACATACACAAAGAGAAAACCAAGGTCCTCGAATTCAAAACGGAGAACAGCAATCCAATCACTCTTGATGGCGAAACTCTGGAAGATGTAGAGTCCTTCACATACATGCGAAGCATCGTCGATGGACAAGGAGGTTCAGATGCAGACGTAAAGGCGAGGATTGGCAAAACAAGGGTCGCATTCCTTCAATTGAAGAACATATGGAACTCAAAACAACTTTCAACCGATATCAAAGTAAGGATCTTCAATACGAACGTCAAGACAGTTTTACTTTATGGAGCTGAAACTTGGAGAACTACAACAACCACAGTCAAGAAAGTACAAGTATTTATAAATAGCTGTCTACGCAAGATACTCAACATCCATTGGCCAGATACCATCAGCAATAGCCTATTGTGGGAGAGAACAAACCAACTTCCAGCTGAAGAAGAAATTAGGAAAAGACGATGGAAATGGATAGGACATACATTACGCAAATCATCAAACTGCAACACTAGAAAAGCCCTAACTTGGAATTCTAAAGGGAAGCGGAAAAGAGGAAGGCCAAAGAACACATTGCGTCGGAAAATAGAAGCAGATATGAAAAGGATGAATTACAACTGGAAAGAGCTAGAAAGGATTGCCCAGAACAGGGTTGGATGGAGAATGCTGGTGAGCGGCCTATACTCCTTCACGAGGAGTAACAGGCGTAAGTAAGTAAGTAAATGTCTTATTCTTTAAGAAGGTTAGGCTTAAAAAGCAAAGTTCAACTCTTATCAATACATGGTTTAAAGGTGGCTCAATTTCAATGAGATATGATGATCCTAGTTTATTTCTTAAAATGTGTGCTGTATTTGCAATGCTGTGGTGGTTTATGCGAATGCAAAATAAATCCTTACTATTCCACAACTTTTGATAGCTTTTCAGCTAATCCTTGTATATATAGAAAGTTGTTATAACGGTGTGAGTACTGAAGATATTGGGACTATTTTGCGGATAGTTACTATTCATATTTCTGCTGTGTGATTATTAAATAATTGGACTATTATGGTCCCATATTCCCCTTATTGTAAGCTTTCATTGGATCTACTTATTGTCGCCATACTTTTTACTATTCCTAAATGTGTTGTTAATCTATTACTAACGGCTATTCCTGTTCTCTCACAGTTATAGCCTGTGTATGTATAAACGATGATTTTTACTTAATGGTGTAATACAGCCGGTTAGGTTTGTATATAATACCTGAAATACAGTGAAAGAAGCTTTCCTACTGCATTCTCTTATCCTGGGGATAAAAACAATCTCATATCAAAGGTCCAGTTTGAGTCAAGATTGTCTTGTCAGTTACTCTCACTAACTTTGTTTTGATGGTAAATCTAAGTAATCAATAGATGGGCGAACTAACATACGCGGACCCAAGTTGAATAAATCATGATTTGGTTTGATGCACTTTTTCCCTTGTTGTCGATTAAGAAGTGCAGAGAGTGAGTTTCATTATCATGACTTACAACTAATCAATTTACTGCAAAGTATATAGAGGCCATAATTAACTGCTAATTGTTAATTGTAACGAACCTCAAGTTGGTGTTCAGATATTTAAACTTCACATAATATTGATTGGAGTGTATGTATTAGTACTTTGTAAAGGAACGTAATACAAAGACAATATTTGTATTTTAACTAGTTAAATCACATATTTCAATGGGCATTAATGGTACGTAAAAGTTGGTAGATTTTTCAAATCTATGTGAAGGGACTTACAAATTGAATGAATAACAGAGATTTTATATTACAGTAGATTTTCGATAAAACATTTCTACTATAAATGAAGATAATAAGTTTTGCTTTAAGATGACTTGGTTAAGATATGTAACTTGACTACTTATTATACTTCATTTCTCATTTATTTGATGAATTCATTGTAAAATACATCACAAAACACTTAATTAACATTTTATATTAGAATTAAAAAATTTTTTCATCTTGAAAATAGTTTGTACTGTAAACTGACTTTAGATCTGAAGTCTGTGGTTTCGATTTCTGGTACTGTTATGAGTGTACACTACAGAAAAATCTCATTATAGCGAAACTGAAGTTCAATGTTTCCTTGTTTTCAGTGTTTATCTAGCTAAATCAAGTTCACACAGTAAGCTGTCTTCAACATTTACTATCTTCATTCATAAGTAATTGGAAAATATCAATTTGAATGATTGAAGTAGAATGAAAGACGTTTTTTTCTATCAAGAAGGTTAAATATTGTAGCTTTATAGCAGAGTAATAAACTACCCATATTTACTTAGTCAAGGACGTTTGTTTTATTGACAAAGACTATTGACGAATTTATTCTGATTGTAGTCCGAGCATTGTTTCTTGTACAAGTTTAACTCAAATTCACTTAGGCTATTTGAACCTGGGAATTCCCCAATATAATAAATACTCTAGATTCGAATGGGAATTAGGTATATATGAAACTAATTCATAAGTACAACATACAGACGACTTGCATCAAATGTTTTACAAGCTGAGACTTCACTAAGATATTATACAGAAAATGTGAATAAAAGTAAGTAATATTAGGTTGGATGGTTTAAGCTTTGATATTTTGAAATCACGTTTTTGTTGCATTTGAAATGTTAATCAGTAAGAAACCTCACTATGAAGCTGAATGATAGTACGATTATTGTCATAAATAAAATGAATTTACTGCGCTCACTGTCTGTATACAGCATAAAAACTTTTGATTTTCTGATATTAAAAGGCTTTTATTCTATTTCATTTGAAGGTTAGATGGCTATGAACAATCAGTAATTATTCAGTTTACCCCGATATTTCTTTACATTCATACTATACACCACATGAAAACCGATTTTATTTCATAAATTTAAACTAGTGTTATCAACTCCTTTATTTCGTGGTTTTAACATTTAAGTATTCTGGACTTCATAAATCTCTCGAGTGCTTTACGATTTACATTAATCAAATGATATTTAGTACACTGGATAGAAAATTAATCGACGGTGTCCATTCAAAACTAAAAAATCGATAGCATGACTTTAGTTACGACTGCGTGAATGATTATCAGATCACTGATGTGCATTTATAATGACTATGTAATACTTCTCAATGTAATTTATTTAGAGATTGTTTTAAGTAATCAAATAACCACTGATGTTAGCATCATTTTATTAGCATAATTTAATTCGTGAAAAATCCAATATACGTCCATTTTTCAGTCATTTCAAGAAGTCCACTTATTCATAGACACTAATCTCTGGTTCAAAATCTTTTATTTATTTATTTAGACACATAAATATTGTTACAAAGGGGCACCGAATACATATGCACCACACAAGTCACTTGACTCGTGTGTGGGCTGTGATACTTCCCAGGTGCCCAAA